CCCCCCCGCCCTGGCGGGGCTTGACAAGGGTGAAGTCGACTAGGTCTGGATCTCACCCAATGGGGGTGGGGCCGGCCGGGTCTGGGTCTTGCGCGATTTTGAGGTGCATGCGGGTGGGCGGGGACTTGACTCTGGGTCCCACGGATGCCTCAGACTCTGACAGGAGGAAGATTTTCATATACATTTTACTAATTTTCTTTCATCTCTGACACTTCTATTATAGAGAAAGGGCAAATAGCAATATTAAAATACTAGAGGCCCAATGCATGAAGATTCGCACAATAGACCTTCCTTCCCCTGGCTGCCGGCACCGGTTTTCTTCCGGCACCCGGGACCCAGGCCTTTGGTCCGGCCGCAGCGGAGAAGCCAAGCCTCTTCAGTCATCTTCAGTCTTCGCTCGGGCTGCCATCTTTGTTGGGTTAATTTGCATACTCATCCTGATTGGCTGGTGGGCATAGCAGAGTGATGACCAATTTACATATTTCTCTTTCATTAGTGTAGACTAGAGGCCCAGTGCACAAAAATTTGTGCACTCGGGGGGCGGGGGGTGTCCCTCAGCCCGGCCTGTGCCCACTTCACAATCTGGGACCCCTCGGGGGATGACCACCTGCTGGCTTAGGCCCGCTCCCCGGGGTATTGGGCCTAAGCTGGTAATCAGACATACCTCTGGCAGCCCGGGAGCCCTTGGGGGATGTCCACTTGCCAGTGGGGAGCAGGCCTAAGCTGCAGTCTGACATCCTTAGCGCTGCTGAGGAGGCGGGAGAGGCTCCCACCACCACCGCTGTAATGGCAGCAGTCAGCCTGGCTGTGGCTGAGCAGAGCTCCCCCTGTGGGAGCGTACTGACCACCAGGGGGCAGCTCCTGCATTGAGCATCTGCCCCCTGGTGGTCAGTGTGTCATAGTGACCAGTCATTCCCAGTCTTTCTGCTGTTAGGGTCAGTTTGCATATTACCCTTTTATTATATAGGATTTCCTTAATTCCCTTTTAATGTGCATGACTTTCATGCACTGGGCCACTAGTTTTAATATAAACTGCAAATTAGATAATACTATAGTACCAATGTTAAACTTCTGAAATTTAATCATTGTACTATGACTAGCTAGGTAAGAGAATGTCTGTGTTTTTATGAAATAGATGCTAATGTATTTAGGAGTAAGGGCCCAAGATGACTGCAACCTACTCTCAAATCATTGAGCAAAATAAAGTAATCTATATATATAAAAGACTAATATGCAAAGTGTCCCCGTGGAGTTCGACCGGGAGATTGGGAGTTCTATTGCTCACTATGATGTGCGCTGACCACCAGGGGGCAGTGCAGAATGAAGGAAGGCCTCGGTCAGGCCTGATCGCCAGCCAGGCCTTAGGACCCCACCTGTGCATGAATTTCGTGCACTGGTCCTCTAGTAATACTATATAAAGAGTGGTAAAGTGAAATGTTGCAAAATGTTAACACTTGGTGAATCTAGACAAAAAATATGTAGGAATTCAGATTCTTACAACTGTTAAGTTGGAAATTTTTTAAACACACACACACACACACACACACACACACACACACACAATTCTAATCCACAAGAAAGGGTGCTACATAAGTAGCCTAACACAGAGAGCTACTATAGGGACTAAGCCAGGTGGCATTTCTCTGCAATATTATACTGGGACCTGTTTAGAGAACATGTTGGCATTTAATATACCTCTGACTTTAAGAATGAGATTACATCTTATATATGCTAAAAAAGACCACACACACACACACACACACACACACGAAAAAAACCCCACCTCCATTTTACTTTTCCTGGTTAAGTATATTTTTCTCAAAAGTCCAACTTCCTCATCTTTCTACCAACCAAGTATCCAACAAATATTTTTATAAATGAGATGCCCCAAGATATATTATGGTCAATTCAGAAAATGATAAATGTGCCTTGATATGAGAAACAAAGTATTCAGTTATATGTGTAGTTTTGAGAATTTTATAAATTTTAAAGAAAGTAATTAATGCCATTAATTTTATTAATCAATAGCAATTTACAAAATACACTTCCATTACTCCAATGTTTATTTGATAACACTCTGCTTGCTTGCATTTCACCTTAAAATAAAACTATGAAAACCTCAATTAGAATTAACACAGTCCGAGGTTTAATTTTCATTTTAGAAATAAAAGATCAAGCCCTTTTTTGATATAATTACTAATTAAATAGTAATTATGAGCAGATAAAACAACATTTATCAGCAACCAGATTCATTTTACTAATTTGATAATTGTTTTACATTATCTTAAAGAACACAGCTTTCCCAATCAAATGTAAACTTTATTTTGATATAACATCACAGAATAACACTGGAAACCTTTTCAAAAGTTAAAAGTGAAGCTTAACTTTTTATCAAAAGAAGAAAATTACCTTTTAGAGCTTTGTTTATTGAAAATCTGAAGCAAAAAATGAAAAATAAAGACTTTACAGTTTCATTAAGTTTCATACTTTAAGGACTAAAATATCTTTGTACAAAACTATCTCTGCTATATTTATATACCAACAATCATACTTTCTTTCCAATTATTTTTGAAGAAAGTAGCTATTTCTTTTTAAATAGTTACAAAGAACTATAGAACTCTTAACACCAGAAAGGATGAAACCCTTTTATCATACAAATTAAAATGTGAAGTTAACTTTTAAATCTACATTCAATCACTGTAATATGAACATATGTACAATGGGACTGACTTCATCAACTTTTCATTTTGGCATCACAAAGATGAATCTTCTGATATTCTATAAACAGTACATTTATATGGTAGTCAGTTTACCTAAAATTCAACTGAAATGATAATAAATGAGTATAGAATGGAAATCAAGGAAGAGAAAGCCCAAAGTCATTTAAAGTAGCAAGAGCACCTTCCCAATGAATAGCTTCCATTCATGTTTCCAGGGTCCTGAAGATAAAAGAAAAATTTAAATTAACCACATTTTCTATTGCCTTCCTGCAAATAATTAGGAAAAAAACCCTTGTAATTATAAAATCACATAAATTTTCAAGGTCTGAGATTAATTAGGAGTAATAAAATACATAAAGTTTAAAGATAATTATATTCCTTTTTCTCTGAGGAACACATTAGTTCATAATAAAAAGAGATTCATACATAAACCTTAAAAATTAGCAGGTTATGGGGATTAGTTTAAACTAAAATTTTACCCTGTTATAGTTCCTATCCTATATAATAAAAGGCTAATATGCAAGTCGACTGAACTGTGGAATGACAGGTCACTATGACGTGCACTGACCACCGGGGGCAGACCTCAATGTAGGAGCTGCCCCCTGGTTGTCAGTGTGCTCCCCCTGTGGAAGTGCCACTCAGCCAGAAGCCGGGCTCACGGCTGGCGAATGTAGCAGCAGTGGTGGGAGACTCTCCTGCCTCCACAACCGCACTAAGGACCCCTCAGGGTCCCGGACTGCGAGAGGGCACAGGCCAGGCTGAGGGACCCCCTCAGTGCACGAATGTTGTGCTCTGGGCCTCTAGTTTCCTTATAATCTTCATCAGATTTCCAATTCTTTGTGTTTTATTTTTTAAAATTTTGGGCCATATTAGCATTTTTTAAAAATATGTTTTTATTGATTTTTATTTTTTTTTTAAGAGAGAGAGGAAGGGAGAGGGATAGAGAGAAACATCATCGATTGGCTGCCTCCTGCATGCTCCCTACAGGGGATGGAGCCCACAACCAGGGTATGTGCCCTGACTGGGAATCGAACCAGTGACCTCTTGTTCATGGGTTGATGCTTAACCACTGAGCCACACCAGCCAGGCAGATTTCCAGTTTTTAATCATAGCATTTACTAACTAAATATTGTAAATTTTTTTAAATAAAAATAACTTTTAAAAATGCAAACAATATATAAAGTAAACAATAAGGAATTAGTACACAGCTTTAGAAAACAGTTGGGCAGTTAGTCAAAAGTTAAACATATGACCTTCCACTCCTAGGTATATACCCAAGAAAAATAAAAACATTACTATATTAAAACTTATACACAAAAGTTCATAGCAGCATTATTCACAATAGCTAAAAAGTGGAAACAACTCAAATGTCCATCAACTGATGAACAGATAAAGTGCGGTATAATCTATATAATGGAGTATTATCCAGTGATAAAAAGAACTGACATGCTGAGATGCTACATGGATGAACCTTGAAAACATTATGCTAAGTGAAAAATACCAGATATAAAG